TTTAGGGAGGGAGCAGTGGTGGGGTGGGGTGGGGCAGGGAGGTCAGTCAGCCTGAACAAAGGGGGTCCACGTGAAATTAGACAGAGTGACACTGGCACCGGTGGATAGTCCCAGCATGCCTGTCATTACGTCTCATTCCCAGTGTTGCCCTGCGGATCCGGTTTCTCTTCCCTGGGGATGGGGCGATGGCATAGATGGGTGTGGGGATGGCAGGGGTCTTAATTAAAGGAGAAGGGAGGCGCCTGAAACATGACCTGGTCATCAGGTGGCCCCAGAGGAGAGCGAGTGTTGGGGGGTGGTTGCAGGGTGCAGGCCAGTGTCCCTCCTCCTTCCTCCTGCCACACCCCTGCCTCCAGGCTTCCCCTTGCCCCTGCAGGCTCTGCTCAGAGCAGTGGTTCTCAACCTTCCTCATGCCTCGACCCTTGTATACAGTTCCTCAGGTTGTGGTGACCCCCCCAACCATAAAATTATTTTCATTGCTACTTCATCACTGTCATTTTGCTACTGTGATGAATCGTCATGTGAATATCTGACATGCAGGATGTATTTTCATTGTTACAAATTGAACATAATGAAAGCATCGTCATGAATCACAAAAGCAATATGTCATTATATATTGTGAAATATTTATTTCTAATGAAAAATAAATGAAATTTTGTCTTGAAGCCTGGTGTAGCATGGGTAACAGTCTTCGTGCCACATACTTGTATGGGGGCGCATCTGCATGTGGGCGGACCTGCCTGGAGACGGATAGAGGAGCGGTGTCTCGGTTCCTAAGACCATCGGAAATATGTGTTTTCTGATGGCCTTAGGCGACCCCTGTGAAAGGGTCGTTCAACCCCCCCAAAGGGGTTGCGACCCACAGGTTGAGAACCGCTGGCTTAGAGACCTAGGAGACACGGTGCTGTTGGGCCAACATTTCGGTGCCTTTATCTTTAAACTCTTATACAATGACAGCTCTCAAACGTTTAAAACCACTTTAGAAGCTTCCAGAAGAAAAGGTTTTGCGGCCCAGGCTGATGGCTGACAGCATCCATTCTCCCTCCTCCCCTCCCCCAGCCCCGTGATCTCTCCACCCCTCCCCAGCCCAGCCGTGCAGCTGAATTCAGATTCCAGACCCCACAGTCCCCCTGAAGGCCCTTTCCCCCCAAACCTCTTCTGCCTCAGCCAACATCTGTCTCCAGTCTTTCTGGCTGCCAACACCGAGTCTCTGAGTCTCGTCTTTCCCCATCTCACTCCTTCCCCTGCACTGGTAGCCTTCAACAATCCCAGCCCAATCCTTTCCTCCCCCTACAGCGTGGGCACACCTCTCATGCCACCTGAGCCGCGCTAGGTCCTTCTGCCTCTGCACTGCCTGCCAGTGCGGCCCCAGCCCCCACTCACTCTCGGGGTCTTCATGTGTGCTGCCTCCTCCAGGAAGTCTCCCTGCTCTCTTAACAACACCATGGTGAGGGCTGCTAACATTTATTGGCCTGGCTGTGAACCAAACCCCCCAAATCTGGTGAGCCGAGTCCACTTTGACTCACAGTGACCCAATAAGACATAGGAGAACTACCTTCTCGGGTTCCCTAGGAAGGAGCTGACCATAAGGTCTGTGGTTCTAACCCGTGAGCCGCCCAGTGGGAGAGAGGAGAGACTGCACGCTTGTGTACAGATCCGCAGTCTCAGAAACCCCGAGGAACAGCTCCACTCTGCCTGCCAGGTCGCTCTGAGTTGGAATCGGCTTGATGGCAACAGCTTTCTTTTGGGGTTTTGGAATCTTTCCGGGAGCACATTGGATCGAACCTCCACCCTTTGGCTCAGCAGCACAGCACTGCCTTCTTTGATCCAAGCACAGAGGTAGAGGCCTCTGTTTCACGCCCTAACAGCCACATGCGGGAGTTACCATGTGTATCACCCCCATGCTCCAGCTAACACTGCTAACCTGCCAAGAAGTTTGCAAACTGTTGACGGGAATAGAAAGCCTCCTCTTTCTCCTGAGGAGAGGTGGGTGGTTTCGAACAGCTGATCCTAGAGCATAACCCACACCACCACCAGGACTCCTGGAGCTCAGGTGCTGCTCTGCTTAACTGGAGAGCTCCTCACCTGCAGCCTGATGACTCCCTCCCACGAGTTGCCCAAGGCATTTCATCTGTTTAAACGTTTTTCCTTGCGTTGTGGTTAATTGTCTACAGATCTGATTCTTAAGCCGGTGCCCTGAGAGCATAGTTTGATTTTATACTTTTCGTGGATGCAATGATCCAAAGAAAATGTTCATTTTATTTTACAAATAATATATGAAAGTGATTGGTCAGATCAAATCCTGGTGTGATAGGATGAATATGCTATCAAGCTTCCTGGGAAAGCCAGAAGCCTCCTGCCCACCCCTGCCCACTCCTGAGGCCCACTTTCCTGTCTCCGTGGCATCTCTGGCCCACAATGGGTGGTAATTACAAGACCATTTAGTTGTCAGTTGTCAAATAGCTGTTGAGAAACCATGCTGGGCCCGGCACTGTGCTAAGTGGAATTGTATTTGTCTCTCAAACAATCCCTTCCTTCCGCCTCTCAGACCTTATGCCCTTTCCTTTCTACCATCTTCCCTCTCCACCCCCTGCCTTCTAGGACCATGGTCAGGGCCCACCTAGAGACTTTGGCTCAGGTGCAAGCGGGGAGACATACAGTATGTCTCACCGTAGAACCAAGAAGACGTGACGGCCACTCCGTTCTGACGGTGACAAGGTGCACTGAGCTGGCGTTGTGTTTGGCTGCGTTGGGCAGAGCCCCAACACCACAGTGATCCCAAATGAGTAGTTTCAGGCTGCCCCCCAAAGTCCTTTTGGAAAGAAACCATATTCCCTGTGTCTATCAAGACCCCCACCCCCCTTGAGGGATGAACAAGAGCCATTGTTCATGATTTACCCTCTCCAGTGCCATTTTCCTAATATTCGCTTCTTGTCATTATGATGCCAGACTCACGCACACACCCTTAGCATGGACCATTAGCCACAGAGCCACACATTCAACGGGATTGCCCCTGGCCTCGGGATCTCATGAAGGCATTGCTGCTTCATCAGGTTCTGCATCATGTTCCTTTTAGAGTTTGTGGTGCCATGACTGTGAGAGGTTGGCATATTCCGGTGGGCACACTGCTCTCGGCTGCCGTGTCTTGAAACAAGCCCTTGCTTGCCACTAGGTGCCACTCGCCTTGTGCTCTTAGGAATGCCTCCAAAAATCTACTGCCCCCAGCCGAAGCTGACTCCTAGCACCCCAATAGGACAGAGTAGAACTCCCCTTGGGGTTTTCTGAGACTGTAACTCTTTATAGGGACAGACAGCCCCGCCTTTCTCCTGCAGACCGGCTGACAGCCCAACATGGAACCCACCAGAACGTCCTACTCAGTCTTTCATACCTCTTTCAGGGGGGCCCCCATGATGTCTTATAGGAGCCATGGTGGTAGAGTAACCTACCTGTTGCTAGCCTCAAGGTCAGTATTTTGAAACCACCAGCTGCTCTGTGGGAGAAAGATGAGGCTTTCTACTCTGGTGAAGATCTACAGTCTCTGGGGGAAGGACAACAGAAAAGTGGGTGAAGGGAGACGTTGGACAGTGTAAGAAATGACAAAATAATAATTTATAAATGATCAAGAGTTCATGATGGAAGGGGGAGAGCAGGGAGGGGGAAAATGAGGAGCTGATGCCAGGGACTTAAGTGGAGAGCAAATGTTTTGATGAGGGCAATGAATGTACAGATGTGCTTGACACAATTGATGTATATATGGATTGTGCTAGGAGTTGTATGAGCCCCGAATAAAATGATTTTTTAAAAAAGATCTACAGTCTCAGAAACCGGCAAGGGCAATTCCACCCTGTTCTATAGGGTCTCTGTGAGTCAGACTCAACTCGATAGCAGTGAGTTTGCTTTGGAAGGCATCTTATAAGCCCAGCTAAGCTCTCTCCATCGGTTGGAGAGTTGCTCATGGACTCGGCTTTCTCTTCTACCAAACTCGAAGCTACTTATAATCTTGTTCATTCTTCCACCGCTGTGTTGGACTTGCCAGTGGGCCCTCTCACAAGGTGAGTCGGCTTCAGCCTGTTCCAGCGGGACAGAGAGGGAGCAATCACGCCGCTCTATGTTGCTGCTGTCATGGGACTGCAGCGAGCAATGGAGGCCGGGCACGTGGTCTCTAACGATAGCCTAGGAATGGGCGACGCCACCCTTGAAAGCTCATTCACATGCGTTATCGAATCTGGTCCTCATAAGACCAGGAGATAGGTATGTTGCCGGGGGATGAGGGAGATGGTTTGCAGTTACGTGAAACACCTAAATCCGGGCAGCCAGGAAAGGGCTGGAATCAGACCAGGTCTCAGTAACCTCTTCTCTTTTGCTTGAACCACACCATCAAGTCCACCCAGCCACCGTGGCGTGCACCTGACTCGCTGCTTGGTGGCCTCGTGGGTGCCCACTGGGCCCTACCTCTTCTGAGAGAAAGCATTTCCCTGACATATGTCTGGACATGGACCTGCCTTTGGCGTTGAAGAAAAGGTAGGCAGGACAGAAGGCCGGTCTTGTGTCTTCCACTTCCAGTCATTTGGCTCCTGCCAGAGCGTGTGGGGGTGCTCTGAGCATTGCTGACTCCCCAGCCAGCAAGTAAGCATGAGCTGACTTGTGCTTACTTACTCACCTGTAGTGAATGATATCACATAGTTTTCACCCTATCAGAGTCTGTTTCTCTCAACCTCGCAGCACCTTCTACAGAATCAAAGCCTCTTTTTGAAGCGTCAAGGCCCCAACAGGGATGGAGTAGCCAGGAAGCCAGGTGAGCACAGGTTCCTTGTGTCGTGCAAAGTGGCCCATGTTCTCCGCCACAGATGCGGGTGAGACCCGAGGGAAACTGTCCACTACAGACTAGGAAGTAAGCACACGGAACCCTGTGCTCACCCAGCAGATGTGTGCTCTGGCCCTGGGTTTGAGATGCCAGCCCCTTGTGATGCATGGCTCCTTCTGTCTCCAGATCTGAGAAGATGCGGTGTGCCACCCTGTGCCGGCTCCTGTGGCTTGTGCCCCTTCTGACCAACATCCACTCGGTGCCCATCCAGATGGTCCAAGATGACACCAGGATCCTAATCAAGACCATTATCACCCGGATCAATGACATCTCCCACATGGTAGGGGTGGTCTGGGGGTGCCAGGGCCCATGACCTGGAGTAACCCTAGCTCAGCCATGATTCTCAGTGGGGCTAGAAGCAGATTATTCAAGAAGCACAGACTGAGCATCTCCTAAATCCACCTCGGGGCAGCCTCTGCTCTCTCGGGTGGTCCTCACAGCCTGCCTTCCTACTGGGGTCCAGGCCCAAGAGGACCCCATTTTAAGCCACCCTGAAAGTGTTTAACTTTGCTATGTTTCCACTAAAACTCACATGACCCTCTGACGTCACGGGCCCGCATGTGCTCGCTTGTGTTCAGAGGTTAGTGGTGGCAGGTGTAGAGACACAAGCGGTCCTGGGTGGCCTTGACGCCTACTCTCTGCCTTACCAATGACCTCCCCTTCTCCCTCTGTCCCTTGCCCCCCGCTCTCCTTCTCTCTGACTTTGTTCCCCTAAGCCTTAGTGCCGGAACCCAAGGGATCTGTGTTCCAGGGGTGGAAACCAGACCCTAGCAGCACCCTCCCTGACCCTCACCAGGTGGGCTCCATCGGACCTTGTCATTGGCCACTTTTCCTCCTTTGAGCTGAACTCTGACCCATGCGGCTTCCCCCATTACTGCTGGCCTTGCTTCCCAAGGCCCCACAGAAGATGGGGTCCGCCTCTTTCATCTGCACCCCCCTCCATCCAGCTCCCCCTCCCCACACCCTAACACCCATCTAGATCTTTCCTCTGAGGTCAACAGACCTATACCTTCAGCCTTTCCCTACTACGGCCCACATTTGGAGTTAGGAACCCTGTGAGCCTTCATAGATCTGTGCACTGTGAGAGCTCAAACTAGCCTCCCTGCGTCTTTAAGCCTTGGTTGCAGCCTTGAGGGACTGGGATTGTAACAGAGCCTTCCCCAGGTTGCTAGGAGACTTAAGGTAGATAACCAAACCAGCCAGTTATCAGAAAGTCAGTTGTGTCTCGTGGCAACCCCTGTTGATTCTCAGAAACACTTGCTTCGGGGTAGACTCAAGCATCCAACCTTGGCTTAGCCGTCAAGAACCTTAGCCATTGGCACACCCAGGGCCTCCGAAGTTAGGTAAAATAGGTGAGAAACACCCCACCCTCGCCCCCATGAAGCACAGAACAGAGTGCACCTTGGGTAAGAGCTTGTCCGTGTAGATTTCGGTGGCCCCCTGGCAGGTCCATCCTGAGCAGAGCCATCTGGAGGTCTCCATGCCTCCTGGCCACTGTGTGGGCCCAACAGGAAGCCTGGGAGAAGGAAGATCTCCAGAAACACAGACAGCTTAAAAGCAGACCGACTCTTGGACATTTTACAGGGAGGAACCCTTAAGTCTCCTGGCTTTTAAAAGAGCCCATCCTGGCTACCCACTCTGGGCCCAGAGGGTGACACCCTGGAGGCCCAGGCATCCCTGTGCACAGAGTCAGGGGAGGGAGAAGCCCTCCTGGTCAGTGCAGTTCTGGATGCAGAGAAGGGAGGCAGGGCATTTGTGGGGGTACCACTTTCATCTCCAATTCCCAAGTTGCTGGGACTGCCTGGAGAACTGAGCAGTGAGAACCTGACTTGGTGGGAGGGAGGGGGGTGTGCGCGCGCGGGGATGCGGTTGGCTGAGGGTGGGAAGGAATGAGGCCAACGGGAATGACGGGTGGGGGTGGGGAGCCTTGGATAAAGGTCCTTAATTGGTGCAGTCTGCACTCCACGACGAACCTAAAGGTTGGTGATTCACACCCACTTCATGGCACCACGGATGAAAAGCTCACCTACCGGTCTCCATGAAGTTTGCACCCTGTAACGTCCATGGGCCAGTGTGCTCTGTCATGCATGGGGTCACCAGGAGCCAAACTGGGCAGTGGCAATGGGTTTAGACTGAAGTACAACACAGGGGGTCCTGAGGGCTCTTCAGCGGAGGACTCTGGGAGATGGCAGTGGCCCAGGAAGACAGGCCTGCAGGTGGAGCGGGAGCAGTCCGGGAAGGTCAGGAAACCAGAGAGATGCTCAGCGGGCAGCTGCGGGCAGTAGCTCAGGGTCTGGGAGGGCAAGGAATGGGCACGAGACAGCCGGGGCAGGGGCCTGCTATCTCTACCTCGTGGGAAAGGCCAGGGGTGAGGGTGTACGGTAGACAGTTTCCCCCCTCTGTGCTCAGTCCTCTCCCTTCCTCTCCCTCCCACAGCAGTCCATCCACTCCAAGCCCAGGGTCACCGGCTTGGACTTTCTCCCCGGGCCCCACCCTGTCCTGAGCCTGTCAAAGGCGGCCGAGACCTTGGCGATCTACCAGCAGGTCCTCACCAATCTGCCTTCCACCAGCATGATCCAAATAGCCAACGACCTGGAGAACCTCCGTGACCTGCTGTACCTGCTGGCGGCGTCCAAGAGCTGCCCTGTCCCCACGGCCAGTGGCCTGGGAAACTTGAAGATCCCCGATGGGGTCCTGGAGGCCTCGCTCTACTCCACCGAGGTGGTGGCCCTGAGCCGGCTGCAGGGCTTTCTGCAAGATACGCTGCGGCAGCTGGACCTCAGCCCCCAGTGCTGAAGCCCCGCTGCCTGCCTGCATCGCTCAGAGAAGAGGCAAGCTGGGGCGGTCGTGCCTGGTCTAGGGCTCTACCCCATTCTCTGCCACTCCGCTCAATACTGCCCATGGCGTACGACTCAAGGTTTGTTGCTTGAAACCAAAGATCAATAAATACGATTCCGAGGTCACCAACCGGCAAGGGGCCCTACCAGCGACCCGTGGACACTCTCTCTCTGTGGGTCTCACCAGTCTCCGGTCACCTGCAGGGAGCGTTCTGTCCCCTCCCCATCCTGCTCATCTCTGGCCACTCACTTTGGTGAGATCCAGGGGCTTGCTGAGGGGGCACCAGAGCCTCGGCAGAACTGAAGCAGGTTCCATTTGAGAACTTTTGGGGGGCACCCTCTGGACCCTCTCTGTACTGGACACTCTCCAGCAACACAAGTTGGAAACACTTAAAACACATGTTTATGATGTATTTTATTCCGAATAAGACAAGAGCGAGGTTCTCTAGGGTGCTATTTCCAAGGCCGTGGATGCAAACACATGGTGTGTCCTGAGGGTCGGAGTCTTCCAGACAAGCGCCAACATGGAGGTGTCACTCAAGTTAGTGTCTTTGTTTGTACTGGAATTGATTTCAAGTGTTTGCCAGGCCAGGGCCTTGGGCGGACAGCCTAGGCTAGTTTTCCGGAGGAGAAGCTGAACCTTGTAGCTGTGGGCATGGGCTGGAGGTTAGTCTTCTGAAGGTTTGTGCGGCCAGCTCTGGCGCTGAGGTGAGGTCAGTTTCGCATCTTCTGCAGCTACGTGAAGGGAGCTTTCTGTGGAAATGGAAGAAATGACTCTCCCGAGGGGGATGTGGGATCTAGCTGGTGTCCTTGGAGGGTGGGGTTGGCACACAGACTGTGGATGAGGCAGTGGTCGGCTCTGGTCTTCTTCAACTACCAGCCAGAGAGCGAGTGTTGTTTGTTTTATTTTGATGTTTTAATCAGGGAGTGAGGGTCCCACCCCGAAGACAGTGGTCCCCAGAACTCTAGAGTCCTCAGGGTAGTCCTCAGAATGGCCATGTGAGAGCCATTAGACATGGCGGTGTCCCAACTAAGATTTGCATGCTGTCTGTGGCTCTCCTCTGCTTGGCCCATTCCCCACCTGGTCTGGAAAGATTCTGAAGAGAGGAGACACAGCCGTCGGGGGGTGGTGGTGGGGGGGTTGGAGTCTGGGGGCCTCAGCCAGCACTGGCACTGCTGGATGAGGCAGGACCCCAACCCAGGTGGGCTGTCCAGAGGGATGGACCGGGAGGTGGGTGTTGTTCTATGGCACAGGGGTGCCGAACCTTTCCAAAGAAATTTAAATTAAAGCAATAAACTTTGAGCACCTCCCACGTGCTCAGCTTTTACTGGTGCTATGGGCGAGAGACCTCACAAAATAGTCCTGAGGAGTCAGTCCTGCCCTCAGGGACCCGCATTGCACACGGTTGACCCCGCCTCAGGGGTACAGAGCGGTCAAGGTCCCCCACAGGTGGGAGAGGGTGTGAACTGAGGGAGGCGGTGCCCAGAGCCCACAGGCCATCCCTGCTTGTTGCACTTCTTAGCGTTGTTACTGTTCAAGGCACATTTGCCTTGATTACTACGTAGCCATATTTCCTTTGATAGCTTGATAACTTGGGATTTTGATGTAAGAAAACATGTCAGACGGTTGCAGCCAATGGGTAGGTGGAAGCAGGAGAAAGCTTCAGGTCCTCCAACCCCCCAAAATGCTCTCCCGTGGTGCAGACCGAGCTGGAGCAGGAACTTTCTGGAAGGGAGGAGCTTGGAGGTGGATGTGTGAGGATCGTCAATGGCCTGGAAGGAGGGAGGCTGATGAACAGGAAGCTTTGTTGTGTGGATGTGGGTCCCTCCTGGAGAAAGGGAGGAGAGGGAAGCGGTTGTATTGAAGAATCTTGAGTGACAGCCAAGGCGGCTATTGAGAGAACACTGCATGGAAGGTTCTAGAACAGTGTCTTGTAGGATGGACAGAGCCAGGCCTGCTCTGATGGGCGTGACCTGGATTGTGGCCCCGGAGTCAGGGGGGGAGGTGGTTTCTTTTTCGTTGTCGTTCGCTTTCAAACTTTTTATTATGAATTGGGTGAAGGTTTACAGATGGGATCTCCTTTTTAAACTTTTTATTATGAATCGGGTGGGGGTTACGTTGTTTTTGTATCCAGCAGCTCACCAGCTTGCCTCGTTTCCATCTTTTCTTTCTCCCCCTTCTCCCTCTTGTCAGCCTCACAGCACCTGACATTGGGGGGTGCTCCCATGCTCTGAAACCTCCCAAATGCCAGCAGCGGCCTCCTTTATTCACCTTAAGATATATATGTCTATTGTTTATTGAAAATAAAAACCCTTCAATAAAGTCCCTTTGGCCCCTGCTCTTTTCTTTCTGTGACCATTCCAGAGGGGCTTCAGAGGAGCCATCTAGGTGTGACAGGTCATGGCTCCCCTCCATTCACCCCTGCTGTGGTCACAGTCAGCCGCCAGTTCTCTGGGACAAAAGGGTTGCCCCCAAAATGCCACACACCCCAAGTGCTGCAGCCCAGCCTCAGGATGCACCCAGCAGTTTTACACCAGCCCCAACCCCCAGTCACAGATCTAGCCCAGACTGTAGAGTCAAAGAGACAAGCACCCATCGGGTCCAAAGGCACAGAGCACAGGAAGTTGTCCCCCAGTACCGTTGGGGATCTGGTCCCTTTAGACTAAGTCCCCGGGCCAGTGGGGCTCAAGAAGACTTGGGTGGCTGGCAAAGACACATGTCACAAAGAATCATTTCCAGGTTGATTTCAAGAATCAGTGCTCCACCAGCCTGTGTGACCACAAGGTGTCGAAAGGATCAGGTATCAGGCATCAAAGAACAAAAAATCATATCATTGTGAATGAGGGGGAGTGCAGAGTGGAGACCCAAAGCCCATCTGTAGGCAACTGGACACCCCCTTACTGAAGGGTTGCAGGGAGGAGACAAGCCAGTCAGGGTGCAGGGTAGCAACAATTAAGCATACCACTTTCCTCTAGTTCTTAATTGCTTCCTCCCCCCACTATCATGATCCCAATTCTACCTTACAAATCCGGCTAGACCAGAGGATGCACATTGGTACAGATGGGAAGTAGAAACACAGGGAATCCAGGACAGATGATCCCTTCAGGACCAGTGGTGAGAGTGGCGATACCTGGAGGGTGATGGGAAGGTGGGGTAGAAAGGGGGAACTGATTACAAGAATCTACATATAACCTACATATAAGGATCTACATATTACATGGACAACAGAAACGTGGGTGAGGGGAGACGTCAGACAGTGTAAGATATAACAAAATAATAATAATTTATAAATTATCAAGGGTTCATGAGGAAGGGGGGAGAGCGGAGGGAGGGGGAAAATGAGGCGCTGATATTAAGGGCTCAAGTAGAAAGCAAGTGTTTTGAGAATGATGATGGTAACAAATGTACAAATGTGCTTGACAATGGATGGATGTATGGGTTGTGATAAGAATTGTACGAGCCCCCAATAAAATGATTTTAAAAAAAAAAGAATCAGTGCTCATGTCACATACAATGTATCCCAACTATCGCGTCCAAGTAAACCCATCCAACCAAACCGGTCACCTCTGACTCAGCGACCCTACGGGACAGAGTAGAACTGACCCAGGAGGTCTGGCAAGGCTTCGTCTCGCAGGCTTCGGACGTGTGGTCAGGAGAGACCAGCCCATGGAGAAGGACATCATGCTTGGTAAAGTAGTGGGGCAGCGAAAGAGAGGCCGACAAGACGGATGGACTCAGCGGCCGCATCGATGGGCTCCGGCACAGGAACACTTGTGAAGACGGCGCAGGGCCAGGCAGTGTTTCCTTCCGTTGGGCACGGGGCCTCTGAGAGCCGGAATTGGCTTCTGTGGAGAAGATCACAGCCTTGGCAACTCCCAGGGGGCATCTCCCATGTCCCACGCGCGCGGTTGCTGTGAGTTGGCAGAGACTGGGCAGTACCCCAGGACACCCAACAACCTTGGCGGGAGGTCAAACGTGCACGCCATAACCTCTATCGCAGTTGTTTTCGTCTTTGCTAAATGATCGCAAACTAATATAAGAAAAAAAATGGAACGCTAAACCGTGAATAATTAAATAGTAATTTAAAAAGACACCCGTGTTCATCATAGCATGATTTATAACAGAAAGAAGATGCAAACAGCCACACAAAGCAGGGATGAAACTATGGAGCACCCCCTGGTACAGACGGACCCAGAGGGTATGACAGAAACAGCCAGCCCACTGCCGTCACGTCGAGGCTGACTCATGCCAGCCCGTAGGAGACAGGGTCAGCATAGAATCACCCTGTGGGCTCCCCAGCCTGCAATTCTCTTTTTATTTTTACACAGTTTTATCAGCACTTCATCCACATGCCACACAGTTCAATAATCAATCACCTTGAGAAGAGTTGTCCAATCATCACCACAATCAATCCGAGAACACTTTCTTCTCCCTTGTAACCACTACACCACCAGGGCTCCTCTGGAGAACATTATGCTGAGTGAAATTAGCCAATCACAAAAGGGCAAATAGGATGAGCCCACTGCTAGAAGGGAATTAAGACAAACAAGCAAGATAAAGATTGCCATATCAAAAGAATCAGACTGGAGTTTTCCAGAAGCAGTAGACTAGACAGTCGATGGGTGCTTACTTGGGTGAAGTGGGAGATGGTGGTCCACAAGAGGAAAAAGAGAAATCAAGGATTGGGGGGAGGGTAAACTACTGGGAGGGAGGGGTTAGCATTTTTAACTATTGAATACAGAGTTGGTGATCTGAAATGTAACCACCACTACCATCCCCCACATACCTAACTCACAATAAAGAAATCGTGTAAGAAAGACCCAAACCCCTGGTTGCTGGCTGCTCAGCAGATAAAATGAGACAATGGCCCAACAGAATGCCAGGGTCTTTCTTGAGTCACAATCAGCAGCAACTCTAAGGGTCTGGATCAGGGCCAGGGCACCCAAGGTCCAAGTTCC